TCTGGTGACATATCTGCCAGCCCACCAGGCGTAATCCTTGGTTAGTCAAATGCGCAGAGACAAACTATTTTTGGCTCCGTGTTCTGGGACTGTTTCTGGATCTCTGGATGTTTTTGGTGTTGTCATAGCTACAATAGTGAGGCAGAGCAGCAGGACTTTGGTGGTTGAAGAAGGGGTTGTTGGAGAGTTCTAGGTGGAATGAAAGACTACTAGAAGAGATGTGGATCTATTCATCCTGCTTCTTGGCAAGGGATGTAGACAGAGAAGGTTGTGAAGGCAAAAGAGCAGGAAACAAGCGTGTATGTGTGGCAGTGAAGAGGAGTCGGGGAGGAAGGGGAGGGTCAGGAAACTGTGGTCACGGGGTTTAAAAGCATGCTGCGTTGTTAGGAAGGAGACACAGGAGAAAGCTTAATGAGGACAACAGGGGTGAAAAAAACCTATCAAAAACTGAAACCTTCCTCAGTCCTGGTATCTGCCTGTGTCCAGACGAATCTGTCGGGACATCTGTCTGCAGTGATCAAACCGATGTCTCAGAGTGTGGACAGCTCCATGAATGGGTTTGTTATCAGACTTTGTTTTCAAGAAAATGCTTTGGCTCCTCACATGGAAATAGTCTGGAGACACGTGTCCACATTTTCTTTTTTCAGTCTCTGTTGAGGATAGATAAGAGTTCACCTCCTTAACTGACATCCTCTGAAGAGCTGGATGATTTCAATTAATAATTATAACTCTTTATATGAATGACTTCCCTTATAATAACAATATTATTTAGGGTATTATATATGTTAAAATACAGGCTGGTGGATCTGGTCTCATGTGGTCACAGGAGGAGCATCCAGACCAGAGTTACTGTGGTATGAAACATCTGAGCAGATAAAAGCCAATGAGACGTAGAGGCTCACGATTGGCTGGTTTTGTAATGAGGCACTGGGGAATTCACAGTCTAGGAGATTCTCTCTAGGTCATACAGACAATTACCACAAAGACAATTTGTCTTAGCTGTAAAGACAAAAGCCAGGATCGTCTCTGGTTTGGTTTGTTCAGTTTTTTTACTAATATGATAAAAGCGTTATAGTATTTAGCAAAATCAACCAAATGCATTAAAGCATAGACATACATCTAAATCCATAAACAAATTATAAAAATCAACTGTCATATATTTTACATTTGAAAATCCCAGGGTCCAAAATATCATGAAAATCATCAAATCATCAAAATAAATGTAATGAAATATAAAGAACTTCTAGTTTCAGTTTACTCACAATTTACTTACTCGGTGGTTAAGGCCTGATTAGTTAAACGTTATGATGATATAATCACAGGAATTGAAGAAAGATACTGTTATTTTCAGTAAATAAATTGTATCGTCAGACCAAACTTTTTGAAACTTCTTTGGTCTTTTACACATTATTTTGTAGTTTTGTTTTGTAGCATTGCCCTCCCACCCCCTCCCCCTGACATTTTACTGGTTTCATTGATCATCCTGGAGATACTGCCAATTTGCAACATTTAATTTTTTTTGTTTTGTTTTCTTGGAATTCCAGCATATCATACATAGGATACTACACATATACAGGCGGTAATACTTACAAAGCATATTAAAATTTTATTTAAAATTGTAGTGCCCTACAGGATGCTTTTAATAGCTCTCTGTAATTTAACTCCTCTAGTCAAGGAAAATGACATTCTTTTTTTCTGAAAGCATTACCATAAACACACACCCCTAGTGGTATCTAGTGTCATATCACGGCGTCAATACTGCACTCACGCAGCTGTATCCTGTAGCCTGAGAAAACTCTGAGGTCTTGATCCTGATGAGGGAAGTCATTAATATCCTCTGTGGATACAGTCAGAAATACAGCCCGAATCAAAACCTAACATTGTTGGTATTTTTTGGGGGGGGTTTTCCATCAACAACAAACACTAAAAAACACAAATGTTTAATGACTGTGGTTGATGAAAAAGGTAGTTGGACTTTGAATGTAAGGACTTCAGAAAATGACACCAAAATGTTTCAGTTGGCCTTGAGAAAAAGAAGAAGACATCCTGGGGGGGGGATTCACTTAAGCCCAAAGACAGTATCACATTTTCAATCTCATTAAGACTATAAATTATAAATGTTTAAAATAATTTTTTCGCAAATGAGAAAATAGGAATGATAATCTTCTACAGCAGGGCTGCCCAATAAGTAGATCAGGATCTACCAGTAGATCTCAAAGGGAGTGCTGGTAGATCCTGAGCAGTTACATTTAAAGAAACATTAAAACTGATAGATTTAATTCTATGTTAAGATACTAATCACTAGGGCTAAAGTAAGGATCATAGAAGTATTGAGTCAGACAGTATTGTGCCATAGAACTATAGCCATTTAATCAAAGTAGTAAATATATATTTATAGTTTTAAATGTACATAGATCACTTTACCCCGGTCATTTGAAAAGTAGCTCTCAAGCAGAAAAAGTGTGGACACCCCTGGTCTACACCTTAATCCATTTTAGGGTCACAAGGGAGAGAGCTGGAGCCGACCCCAGCTGTCATCGGGTGGGGGTGGGGTACACCCTGGACAGTTCACCAGTCCATCACTGAACCACATACAACAGGATTGTCTCATTTTCACTGGGGGGCTCATCAACAGTACAGTTCTCCTTGAAGGGCCGGATGTAAATGGAAGACTGTATAGATCAGTGGTCCCCAACCCCTGGTTCGCAGACCAGTACCAGTCCATAAGTAATTTGGTTATTTGGCCACAGAGGGAGACAGTCAAAAAATGTACTTAATTTTTTCTAATTTACTTCATTCAAAGAAAATCCAGTCATATCCATTTACTTTCTATATTTAAGATAATCTGAAAATATTTAAAATAATATGTCATTCAGACTCTGATACAAACAGAACAGAGTCTGAAAGATTAATTTAAATTTACCGATCCTTCTATAATCAGTACCTTGGTACTGGTCTGTAGTAACAGGTGGTACTGGCTGACCAGTCCTTGGAACAAAAAAGGTCAGGGACCACTGGTATAGATGTAACTACTCTATAACAGACTGATACATGTTTCTGCATTTGATTATTATTTGGTTATAAAAACTTTTAATTTCTCAGGTTAAGAAACTCTGCTGCATGGACTTTACTAAATGCTTTTTAAGCTCCTGTGGGCCACACAAAATGGCTTGGCGGGCTGCATTTGGCCCCCGGGCCTTGAGTTGGACACATACATGTTGTACAACATACAGGGACAAACAATGAATTGTGGGGCCACAAACAGCCTGATTAGATGTCATGTGGGCCGGACCAGTACAATCACAACATAATTACCTTTAAATAACGAAAAGTCCATGAAAAGTCCCTTTTGTTTTCCTGCAATTAAGTACAAGTATATTAGAAAATATTTATATTTACTGAAATATAATTTTATAAAAAAACTACCACAAATGTTTGTGCATTTCTTTCATTTCCAATATTGATCAAACGGGTCGGATTAAACCCATTTGCGAGCCGGTTTTGGCCCACGGGCCGCATGTTTGACACCACTGATTTACAGTCAACAGTAAGACAGCCATACGAACCACAATTACATGGATCATAGATAGTCAGATCATAGATAGACTTTAAAGTGTTGAGCAGGAATACAAAAAAAAATCTAAAAATCGTTCTTTCTTTTTGTACTGACACCAGAGTCGACGACGCGTCTGTGTCTGACATCATCACCTGTTATTGAATCTACTGTCATGGCCGCTCCTTGACCATGACTGCAGTATGAAAGACTAATTATTCCCATTGTGCAGGTCAGTGCTGGCCTTTGAATGCTTTGGCAGAACTGAAATAGTTGCTTAAATATTAATAGAGAGCGACGGGAGCCTGAGCTGATGAATGTTTAATATTTAATTTGTTCACTTTAACTGAGCACATTTGTCTCACACAGATTGACAGGCCCGGCTTATTTATCAGGTTGTTTTGAAGCATGCTGCATCATCATAACATAGTTGTTTACACTGAACTTCCACTGTTTTGTGCTTCCAAAAAGAAGCTACTCATACTGAGGAGCGTGATATATTCTCAAATATATTGCTCCACAGACCACAGCAGAGAGGCCCCGGTGTTGGGAAATTAGTGACAACCACCACAGGGCAGAGCTCAGAAGGTCACCATTAGTCAAAGCAAATGTAATGAGCAGACGTGAAATGGCAGATCTTGGTCTTGTATGACTGCCTCCACAACAGTGGTGAACCTAGTTGTTGCCATGACTCTTCCTCTAGCGACACAGATGTGACAAAGATTTCAGAAGGAAACATTTAGTCCTGAATTAGGCTGATCTTAATCCAGTTGTTTCCAGAGCTGTCTCAGGGGAGGGGCATGGGCGAGGCAAATTAATGAGCTGAAAAGAAAAGGTAAACAATCTGAAGCACAAAGTACACCCTGAGATGTAGACAATTTAGGTTTCAAGTTCTTCTGTTGCTAGATTGTTGCCTTGATATGCATTTCCTGCAGAAGGTTCTGGGTATAATTTCCATGTAGTCCATAATTAGGTTGCTTTAGGATGGAAAAAAAGTGAAGTGAAAGTAAACTACTTGTCATTGTGACAGAGCACAATGACAAGTAGTTTACTTCAGTGATGACTTGGCAGATGGTGGACTCAAACCTGAAACCTTCCGGCACCAAGTCTGCTGCTTTAACCACTAAGCCACCACTGCCACCAACACCTTGGCTAAAAGAAACTCTAGATGTGGAGTTTTTTTGTTGCTTCAATAAGAACAAAAGTTTTGTAAAACTTACAGCTGATACTTTTTGTTTTATTTGTGAGGCGTGTATTTTTTTACACGTGCTGCCTGTGTGTCCGACACCAGTCGTACACCATCACTCATCTCAACTGACGGAATTGAGGAAGTTTTGGGCCGTGTTAGGGCTACTGTCAGTTTCCTGTGTAACTAAGTGAGTTAAAGAGGAAGTGATTAAACGGAAGAGGAGCATTTCCTTTAAACAACACTCCCCTCCCACCTCCTCCCCCTCGTCCTCCTCCCTCACTTCCTCACCCTCTTCCTCATCTGTTTGACCTGATCATCAATAATCAAAACCTGCTCCTGTATGAGTGTTTATTCTGAGTCCACTCGTCCTCACCACCAGTTCGTTGTTGTTGTTTTCTTCATCCGCACATCTTCAGCTTCCTCTTTCTGGAAACTCAACCAAGTCACACCGTCTCCACTGCGGTAAGATCGACTGTTCGACGTTGAGCTGGGGTTTTTTTTTCCGGTTTCTTCAGTAGTGCTTGAGAGCTTGAAATAAAAAATATTAAAAGTCAGCAATTTTTACCATCTGATGTTTTAGGTTTTACTACCACTGAGCGCCTGTGCAAAGAGCTGCAGTTTCTAAATATTTAAAATGTGTGGTGACTGTGCAGAGTAACTGTATGTCTCTCCATTTACAACCAACACAATAGACAAATATTCATATTCTTTTATAAAAATCTGCAATAAAACGTAGGAACTTGAAACGTCAGTGTACTGTTATTATCGTTTAAATCAGCAAATCTGAGCAAACTACAGTCCATGGGGTTTTCTACTCTGTCACAAGGTATAGCAGAGACTGATGTTGATCCTTAGGTTTCGTACATTACAGTAAATCAACTGTCATTTCTGTCGATTTCACACATTTGTTTCCTGTCTATTGCAAGACTAGGAGGTCACACAACAGATTCATTAATTATTATTATGGAAAAATACATGTATTTTATCAAACGATTTGAGCAATGAACACAATTTTGACAGCCCTATTTTTTTTTCTCTCTCTCTTAGAACTTTTTGACTTTGCTTGGAGAACGTCATGATTTATGTATAATGCCTCGAGCACATGTGTCAAACTCAGGCCCGGGGGCCAAATCTGGCCCGGCAGTATGTAGCCCCTATATACTGACAGGATTTGTAGTATTTGGAAAGGCTACAGATAAAGAGACATAATATTTAATACTTAATACTTTGTTCCAGATTCAATGTTTATCTAAAACTAAAGTTTGTTTCCATATGAAAAAATTCTACAAAACATGAACATTTGTCGTCAATGTTTCAATAAATATTAAGTTTGTCCCAGTTTTTAATTTTGGCCCACTGTGAATTAGAGTTTGACATCCTTGCTCTAGTGCAGTGTTTCCTAAACTTTTGTTTTGGGGACCCATATTTTAAAGGTCTCAACGCGACCTTTGTGACCCAACTTAACAGACATTATTCGTAAAATCCTGGGAAACATGATCAAAGACGACCCCAAAAAAAAAATCTCTTGCGACACACCTGAAGGACGTGACCCAGTCGCTGGGAAACAATGGTCTGGAAGAGAGTTCATCTGTTTGGATGAAATGTTTTCACCTTGTTATCAGCATGGATGACACAGGCTTGTATTATTTAGTATTGTTAAGTCAGTACAGTTGGATATTAATGTTTAAGAAGCAGAAATAATTTGGCACAGCGGGTGAACCATATGTTCCACACCTGTTCTCTCTCTCTCCCCCTCACTCTCTCTCTCTCTCTCTCTCTCTTTCTGCCTGAGTGTGTGAGTTTGTGTGTGTGAATGGTAGTGTGTCATCAACCCAAACAGCTGCACTGTAACTATGTGTCTATTGTGGTTTGGAGAACAGTGGTCTCCCGCCGTCTGACCCCCAATATGTTGATACTGTGGATAAGCAGAGAAGTATTCTTGGTAAATAAATAAATAATAATAATAATTGACAGGAAGTAAGATTAAAATCTTTTGTTTTTCTTTGTCGTCTTAACCTTTGACCTCCTCGTCCTCCTCCTCCTGCAGCCACTGCACTGGTCTCCACACAGCCTTTGTTGTGTCTGTGCTGCCGGACGGTCATGAGGAGTCATGAGACAGAATCAGGAGGATACAAAATGATTAACTCCCTGTGTTGCTGTCTTTGTCTCTCTCTCTCTCTCCCTCTCTTTCTCTCTCCCTCTCTCTCTCTCTCTCTCTCTCTCTCAGTTCCTTTCATGCCCACAAAAAATGGATGACATGCAGGATGGGGTTCAGATCGGGGAGAACAGATTCATCAGCAAGTAGGTGTCACATGCACAGCAGTGGATTAAGAAGTCAACGCAGATCAACACTTCATCATCTTATTGTACAAATAAGTTTGAAAATGGAATATTATTGAACACAGATTTTGTCAGACATTTATTAAACAATTCAGACCTTGTAATGTGGACTTTGAGCAGAACAACAAGGTTTCAGGAAATTGAAAAAAAAAGGTCCTATAAGGACTAGCTTTCCACATCTGTCAATGAAGAGCAATACAAGTGACTCACTTGCACCATAAAAATGATAGTGGTAGCTATTGGGTAATGTCCCACCATATCCTACATGTAAACAGTTATTTTAAACATCTCATATTTTCCTCACACACTGCAGTAAATGATTTAGATGCAATTTCCATATGGTCTCTAGACCACATTGACCACTTTTTGTGGACCGATTCTGGTACACGGGCTGCATGTTTGATAGCAATAGATAGATAGACAGAAAGACAGACAGATAGACAGACAGACAGACAGACAGGCAGAGAGACAGACAGACAGACAGACAGACAGGCAGATAGACAGACAGACAGAGAGACAGGCAGATAGACAGACAGACCGACAGACAGACAGACGGATAGATGATGGATGGATGTCATACACGATTACCTTTATCTCTGTTGTCCTGGGTTTTTAAAAGGTGGTATTTATGTTCTACTCTGCACTGTATTTCCATCCAACACGTATTTCACGCTCTTTCAAGCATCATTTTCCTCCTCGGTGATTCAGCATCTCTGTCTCCAGGGTGACTCTCCTCTCCTATCTAAAGACATATAATCTCTACTATGAAGGACAGAATCTTCAGCTCAGACACAGAGAAGTGAGTCCGCACAATACTGTGTGTGTGTGTGTGCTTGTGTGTGTGTTTGTGTAAACACACTCACCACAGCTCCTGCACTCTCTTTAAAGGAAGAAGAGGAGCTGATTGTTGAAGGTTTGCTGAATATTTTCTGGGGTCTCCGCCGACCAATCAGGCTTCAGATGCAGGATGACCACGAGCGAATCCGACCGCCCCCCTCCTCCACATCCTGGCACTCGGGCTGTAATCTGGACAGTCAGGGGTAAGTGATCAAACAGATCCAGTTACGCCTCACTACTGACCGGAAACTGTGAGACACCAGAGGTCAGTGAGGGCAGATATGGATTTTTTTTTTTTTTTGTCTCATACAGTGGTTCCCAATATGGGGGGCGGACTCCACTTGGGGGTCGCAGCACATCAGAATAATTTAATTAAAAATATTTTTTCACCGATAGAATTATTGTTTCCTTTTTTTCTGAGCATATGAGCTTTTACGATTACAATTATTTTAAACTAAATAAAATAATATTTAGTTATTATTTTATTTAGTTTAAAATAAATAAAATAATAACTATTATTATATAATAATAGTTATTATTTTTACGGGGTGTGGGTGTTTAGGGACCCCCATCCCTGTTAATATACTATTGAGAACCTTATCTGTACAAACCACTGTGTGAGTTGCTGCCACCTAGTGACTGGATGCTTGTTATCATTCAAGCATTACAGCAGTGGTACACTGATGTGCAGCGTGCCATATTCTATTACCTCACCGCAGCTATATAAGACGTGTCTATCTAACATGTCTTTGGATTTTTTTTTTGTTCGTCTTTGCCTCTGCTTGACTTTTTTTTTCTCATTTCTTTTTTTTAAAGTTCCCCCAACAGCACAGATGGACAGACACAGCAGAACCCACCCACAGTGGAGGTGACGCCGCCTGAAAGCCAACCAGAGGACAACGGTGTGGAAGAGCAACAGTCAGATGGTGAGCAGGGATTAAATAAATATCTCATATGTATTTCTGTAAATAGACTTCCTTTTGTTTCTACTTCAATTACAGTTATTCAGTTGACTTCTGTTTTCTTTACTTTATCAGAGGAGAGTGAGACGTCGGCTCAGCTGCTACGAACTAAGAGCGATGCTGGAATCTTAAGACGTGGTCAGCGACGGTCACCCAGTGACCAGAGGAAAATCCGACGCCATCGATTCTCCATCAACGGACACTTCTACAACCACAAGGTGGCGCCAGTCAAACTGTCTCAACACAGATATGTTCATCTGTTTCCTTTAAAATGTGGTTAGATGTAATAAATAATTATATCATTATTAATAAAAAACACAATATAAAAAGTGGGTGAATATAACCTAAGATAATTCACTTAATTTCCTAAAGTTTTATTCACTGACTTTTGAATTTCATTTAATTCATTTGTTTCAAGTGTTTAAATTTTGCATAAAATACAGGGAAGTGGTTGAAAACTGGAACTGCATTCATTCTTCCTTGAAGATAGACTTTCTTACCAGGTCACAACCTTCCTCTCTCACATTGTTTAAGGAATAAAATTCAGCTCAGTTCAATTGTTCTTTAAGTTTTAGGAGAAGCTAAACCTGATCGCAGCGCTAGGAGCTAAGACAAATGTAGCTAAACCTTATTAATTTTATTAGACTTTTAATAATGTAATGTTTGCTCTGATTGCAAAGAATGTTCCCTTATGAGGGTCAAAGAGACCAGATCAAATCACACAGCTTGACACTCGAGACAAAACTGTTCCACAAACTGGAGAAATGTGTCTCAATATGTCTTGAAACATTTTGACTTTTTTGGAACAAATGAATGTACTCTCTGCTCCCTCAGACAGCAGTGTTCACTCCTGCCTACGGCTCGGTGACAAACGTCCGAATCAACAGCTGCATGAGGACGCCTCAGGTGATCCGAGTCCTCCTCAACAAGTTCAAAATAGAGAACAGTCCAGATGATTTCACGCTTTACCTCGTCCACGCCAGCGGAGGTGAGTGTTAGGACACCCAGTGCACAACCTTGATATTTTGGCAGAAGATTTAACGTGACACTGGTTGCTGTGTTGTTGTTGTTGTTGTGTTCCAGAGCGTGTGAAGCTGAAGCGCAGCGACTACCCACTGGTGCTGAGGGTGATGCAGGGTCCGTGTGAGCAGGTCTGCAAGGTCTTCCTCATGGAAGCAGATCTGGGTGAAGAAGTCACGTACGATGTAAGTGTACCACCTGCATTCCAACTCAGTTCTCCTTTATTAGTGTTTCCCAAAGTGGGAGGCGGGGTCCCTTTGAGAGGCAAAGAGCAGGGAGTAGCAGGTCAAGTTCCTGTGCTAACTAGTTTACAAGTTTTAATGCCGTACGTCAGATTGATAAAACAAGACTTTGTTAATAAATTTATGGCGACGTAACCACGAGACGCCATAGGATGTTGTAAGTCCAGGACCCCCTGTAGAATGTTTTATACAATGATCTTAAAGAATTTTGAAGCAAAAGCTGTGAAAGTGTGGACAATAAGAATGAATCTTTCATATGACAAATATGACAAATCACTCACGAATCACTCACTGAGAATTAATCACTCACTGGTTACTCCCATGAGTAATGAGTGAGTGATTCATTCTCCATGTCCGTCCTCAGGGACTCGTTCTTTTATCACGTGATACCCGACATAAAACATTTATTCATGAAATCATAATTCACCTCTGGTAGATGTATATGGTGTTATTGTGTTAAGTGTGTTTGTAAATAAATATTTTCAAAAATTATATCAACAAATTTAGTGTCGGAGAACCGCAGCCTCCTTTACAACGCCCACAATAGGAGTACAGCGCTACCTGCTGTAAAATGAATGAAATTATTTGTTCACAATTTGTTCATTTTACTGTTCGAGAGTCAAAGATCTGAATCAGTAAAAAGAGTTGGTCTTCCCAACACTACAAAAGAGCCTTTTTTGTGACACTCCTTTTTTTCTTCCACAAGGTGGCGCAATACATAAAGTTTGAGATGCCTGTCCTTCAGAGTTTTATCACCAAACTGAAGGAGGAGGAGGACAGGGAGGTGCAGAAGCTGAGGAGGAGGTAGATAAACATTGACTTGTGTCTTTTCTCTGTCGTCGTCCAAATGTGACCTTCAAAAACACTCTCCATTCATTCTTCCTCTCTTCTTTTTTTTTTTTTTTTTGCTGCTGCCTTCAGGTACAATTCCCTGCGTGGTGTGATTGAGAAGCAGCTTCATTGCCTCCCAGAGGGGGCGATGATGTGATACTCTCACAGTGGAGACATGGTGAGGACTTCCTGAAGCACATGGACTTTTTTTTCCAGAGTTTTATATCATCCACACAGCTGTGGCCCTGAGTCAGTGATCATCCTGCTGCTGTGAAGTCCTTTCAAGTCACTTCACACCAAACTCAAACATGCCATCTAGGGGTAGGTCTCAGCGATGGTCCCTGAATGTCATGCCGACACACCCATCCACATCATGGAATGAATACAGACTTCTGTCAGTGGTTTCCTTCACACTTTTTTTGCAGAATGAGCCTAAAGTGTGACTTCCTTTTTAAGTCCAATCCTCCGAGCCAAAACCTTTGATCAGTTCACAGCACAAGCGTCATATGATATAATCTGATCAAAGTGCCTGTTTACAGGTTTCTCCAAGCACAACGACAAGCTAGGCGGTTGTTGTTTTTATTTAAAATGTGACCATATTCAGTATGCATCAAAATACGAGGAATGAGGGGTTTAAAATAATCTTTCTTGGTTATGTCGTTCACCTGGGAATTTACTTTGGTAATAACGTTCACTGATTGGTTATCAATGACACCTTGTATTACAGTTCTTTTTAGATACAGACGCTGGTACTGATCAACATCCTGTCTCACTGTTGTGTTTCTGTAGATGTATTTAGATCCAGTGAGCAACAGACTTTCAAAATAATATTATTGATTTTCTATTTTTATTTTTTTTACATTGTTAGGGGAAATGAAATTGTTGTAGGTGTTAATTGTGCTTTAACTCAGCGGTCCCCAACCTTTTTTGTACCAAGAAAAACTGTCGGCCGGGACCGACCACTACTGCAGACTGGTTGTTTAGTTATCATTAAGGATCGTTTAATTTTCAAAATAAAACGTTTTTTAGACTTCTGTTAGTACTGCAGTCTCAATGACGTTATTTTTAAACATTGGCAGATTGTCTTAAAATTAAGAAAGCAAATAGTGAGGAGATTCTTTTTGAATGAAGTAGATTAGTAAAAATAAAACACTGAACTGTGTCCAATTGCTGTCCAGTAAGACATTATATGCGGACCAATAACGGTCCATGTACTGGGGGTTAGGGATCCCTGAACATGTGAGACTTTCAGTGTTTTTACTGATCATTTGAATCATCTCTGAAGTGACAGGAGTTTAGCTTCATACACTGAGTGATAGAACTACCTGTAGTTTCATCAGATTTTAATGTTTTTTTTTAAGCAAAACTGTTACTATGGGCCCTTAGAAAAATACATGTAAACTCGTAACAAGCAGCCATTTAATTATTTTTATTTTTATCCAACAAATAATGAACAAAAAAGCCTTCGACTTGTACTGAATCTCCGACATGTGACCAAATGTTATTAATGTTAATGAGTGTGAGCATCTGAATTTACACACACAGAGCTGTTTTTCAAGTCTTGAAAATCTCACAGTGACCATGTGACCTGTGTGTGTGTGTGTGTGTGAGGGATAGTGCGATGGCATGTGCATTTTTTTTGTATCATCTTTTACAAAATAATGAGGAAACGTTGAATGTTCAGGACTCCAAGAAGCTGTAGTCATTTTGTACCATTTTTATTTAACAATAATAATAAAAAAAACGTTTATGCAACAGAAATGTCTTGAATAACGTGACCAGACAGATGATGTAACCATGGTGACACTGGAAGCTCCTGGAAACCTCATTACATGTTCTGGTCTGCTTAAATAAACCCGATCAAATTAGCAGCCAGCGCAGGTATTTATGGTCGGTGTTGTCGCTGCAGCAGCTTATGGTTCACTCAGCCAATGAGCCGTCAGTGAGTCAGTGATCCACTCCACCTGATTGAGATTGTCTGGAGGAGGATAACAACTTGGCCCTGAAACATACTTTCCATCAGATGGTGGAGAGGAGCTGAGAGGAGCATCATCATCATCGAAGCACCGCTGTCTGAGCTGCTACGTTACTACTGACGACAAACACACATTTAACAGGTGAGAATCACTCCTGACTCTGGTGTCTTGGTGCTGGTTTGGATTTTCATGATTAATGTTTTTATTAGGAATGTCTGATAATATCGGCCCGATATTAGCATAATTATGTAATATCTGTAAGAGCTGTTATTGGTTTTTCCTCCGATAATGAAAACCTGAAACGCAATACCTGGGTCTTTCCAAATGTGTGACCTAAAAATAGTTTTCTAGATAAAGGGCTGTATATGAAACTAGATGGCAGCGTTGCTGCTCATATAATTAATCTATATTAATAATCAGGGAATTGTATGCAGAACGCTGGTTCCAGTAACTCCTACAGATAAATAAATAAATATCACCAGGCCTATATTGTATCGGTTGATACTGGAATCAGAAATGAAGTGTTTGGACAATATCGGCATATCTGATATCAGCAAAAAAAAAAAGTTAATATCAGACATCCTTAGATTTCAGTATTTTCAGGTATTGTAGCAGCGATATTTGATTTTGTTTTGCTCAGCCGTTACATGTAGGTTTTTTTATAACTTTAATAGACAGAGCAATAAAAATAGTATAAATATGACAGTTATATTTATAGTAAATTCACTATAAATAAACTGGATGTTTTAGACGTGAGCTCCAAAGGAAAGAAAAAAAGCAGTCGGAACTGTGGGAAACAGTTGATGAATCTGTGAATCTGACCATTGGAACAAATGTTGTCTGTGGTTCTGGGCCACTGGGCCCTGAACATGAGTCAGTGGATTATTCTCACACTAAGTGACCCGCTGTCATTATAGCTTAACTTGTTAGATGGAGGCAGATTAGACTAAAGAGATTGTTGACAACGCGGTAAATGTCACTTTGCTCAATGGAAAAGTCCTGTCGTCACTGCTGATGCTGATTGGATCATAGGAAAAGTAAAGCTGTGGTTTTTAATTACTATAGTTTCAATACTTCTTATATTAAAACAAAGTTGATGATTTTTTTGTATAATTATGTTCTTTAATCAACACTACAATACTTGTTTATGTTTATAATAAATCACACTATTTGTAGACAATATTTCAACTTCTAAAACAGCAAATATTTTATTACCAATATAAATTCTGACTTCTTGATAACTCCAGAGTCCTAACAGTAGTGGTTGAGAATGACTGTATTTGCTCCAACAGCAGAATGTCAGACAGACTAGATCTTCGTTAAAGGGCATTAGAGATTATGAAAGTTACGTATCTGACCGCGCGTCAGCTGTTGTGCAGTTGTGTTGGAGTGTGTAATGGTGCTTGTGTAAGATCTGTTTGTTAAAGCTGGATTACAGAGCTGTGATCTGAGCTGCTCTTCATTTATTACGGGTAAACACAACAAGACTTCAAGGTGTCCTTTTACCGGTTCTGGGACCGGTACCGGTCCGTTGGTCATTAAATAACAGGTCGCAGTGAAAGATTTAATAATTTACTTAATTTAAATAGAATACAGTTATTGGCATTTACTTCATTTTAAAATAATAATAATAATGTTTTTCAAAATAATACGTCTTTAAGATTTCGATAATAACAAAATAAAGTCTAAAAGGTGTTTTATTTTGAAAATGTACTTTACTTTTTTTCTTTTTAGTAGGTAAAAACGTGGTCTGCAGAAGTACTTTTCAATAAATACCGAGAGTTGATCATAGGGCATTCACCTGTAAACTGATAATATTCAGGGTGTTACGTCAGTGGCTGTAATCACCTCATCTCGCCTGCAGAGGGTGTTATTAAGTTGTTATTGTTGTAGTTATTATTCAGATTTTGTTTAAAATATGTCCTTTTATCTTTATTTTCTAGTAAATTCCTGTTAATTATTTTTATTTATAAATAAAAAGAATGTTACTAAAATTTCTTTTTTTACAGATTAAAGAAAAGAAAAATGATGACCCTTCAGAAACGGCCCCTGACTGTGGCCCTTTGCCTGCTGCTCCTGGTTGCTCTCTTACCAAATGCAGAAGCCCGTGGGCGTGGGCGTGGAGGTAGCTTTGGCCGAGGCCGAGGCGGAGGAGGGTTTATGGGAGGTGGTAGGGGTCATGCCTACAGACCAGTGGTGGTCCAGAGCAGTGGACCCAGTGCTGGGAAAGTAGCAGGAGCAGCCGCAGCAGGAGCCATAGGAGGAGCCATGCTGGGGTCTGCCTTGAGCCGCCCAGGATACGGACATGGATATGGAGGAGGGATGGGTGGGTACGGAGGGTACGGAGGAGGGTACGGAGGAGGCTACGGCTACGGCTACCCACGGTTTGGAGGTGGTTATGGAAGTTATGGCCCCAGACCTGGCTATGAACCTGAAGGTTCTGGAGACATGGAGTACTACACCGGAGCATCCAGTGGGCCCGTCTACAACAGTGCTATCGTTGTTTTCGGCTCCTTAATGCTACTGCTAATGAGCCACTGGGTGGCGCTCATGTAGAGCTGGAGACAGACCTGAGTTGCGAGGTCAGAATTGGCCAAAAATAACTCCGAACCCTAACGCCACAGAGAGCTATTTTTTTAACATAAAAATATCCGGTGGTGTGACAAAAAAAAATCACACCAAAATGAAAAGCTGCCAACCGCTCCAATTGAGGTTTTTTTTATTAGGTCAGGAGCAGAAAATAAACCTGAAATTAATGAACACACACTTCCTGTCAGAATGGTGTGTTCACTGCCAACGTAATCTAGTCTCTTGTCCAGTCTTTTTTTTATACGTTCATCATTTTGTGAAGATTTAAATGATTACTCTTTGTTTTCTAACAGACACATTACCTGTTTAGTTTAAAAAAATCAAAAAAGGAAAATACATTTTAAGTAAATGTAAACGGAAGTCAAAGTTACGTTATGTCCAGCCGGATACATCCGGTTTAGAGCAGCATGGTGGTTTGTTTGCTCTGCGTAGTTCGTTTTTACGCAGTACGTCTTTAGAGTTTAAAGTTTAAGAGTAAATTAATATTTACTGACTGAATGTATATTTTAGTCAACAGTTCCAAACGAGTACCCCTGCACTTTAAAGGAGCGTCCCGCTGCGCTCTACACAGGTTATTTAAGCTAATGCTAGCTTTGTTAGTGTTTATTGTTGTTATGTGCTTTATGTAAAAGAACAAACAAAAAGAGCAACAAAAAAACTGTTAAAAACAAACTTTTTAAAAAAAGTTTCCTATTGTTTGTACACAGTGTTAAGATACTGTATGTAAGTGTGTCAGTAGTTTAGATGATATTTTGTGACCTCCACCTGCACAGTGTTGTCAAATATAGGGCACTGGTTTTTAGATCCAGTGGATCAACATGCTGTTTTAGTCACTGCCAATAAAATTCACTTGTCATCTCAGATTTTCATTGTTATATATTTATATTTATTTATATGTGTTTGTGTGATTTTATGTGTAGCTATATATTTATATATGTATATAAATGCACTGCATATATTAAAAAGTATTAGTCTTATATTTTAGAACTTATATTTTAACTAAACTAATTTAAAAGTAAAAACACTTTAAATTGCAAAGACAGGTCAGAAATGTAAATCCACAACATAAAGAAATGTAGTGTATCCTGAAGTTTAAAGACATTTTAAAAAAACAACAGTGGGCTAACAGTACATTTCTGATTTTAATAGCAAATGGAATTAAAATAACCTTTAACTTGTACTAAAAATTTAAATTTTTGCTACAAAAAGATATAAGCATACTGCCATCCAAAGGGGAGCAGAGACTATGACATCCCAGACTTTTTTGTATTGTTAGAGATTTATTAAAATACACACAAATATAAATGTACCACAGTCATCACCACAGTTAATAAATCAGATCACAGTTAACAACATCTCTGTCATACATGTAGACAGGGAGAACTCTCTCCACGTCATCTACATGGACTCCATATTGGTTTATCAACCCAGATGACCTCACATACAAATGCTGTTTGAGTTCCTTCCTTCAGACATTTACAAAATGCAATTAAACAACAATTACCGCAATTATTATCCACCAGTTTTCCTGCCCTGGAAGGCCTTATTGTAGCAGGACGTTGCTGTTTACCAACATCACCACTACACCACCGACCACTGCTAAAAGCCCTCTCCAGCCCACCTCTAGTCCCTGCCCTCCTGCTGCATGTCTCTGCAGATACTTCTCAGAGTAAGCCATGTAGAGTTCCAAACATTTCCTGGCCTTTATCTGGTCGATCAGAGCAGGATAGCCGATCTCCACGATGCTGACTGTGTCACCATCGCCCTGATCATCGCCGACAGCCTCGGACGCAGGATTAGGTTCAGGCTTGGTCATGCGGGTCGTGTTTTCTGCCGCCTCTTCGTTGCCTGTGTCTGTCCTAGGATTCTCCGCAGGTAGAAGATCTGTTTTCTTCATGCACGAGTCCATGAAGTTGTCGTAGGTCTCAGTGGGCCGACCATACTTGTAGTCCCTGCCGTAGTCGTTGTCATCAGTCGACCTGATGCCGTACCGCCTGTACATATAGTGATTGTAGTAGTACTCCTCTTCTGGGCTGTGGAAGTGAAAGTGAGGGCGTGGGAACCTTCCTAACCCGTAGCCTAGAGCCATTCCTGCAAAAGCGCCCCCTGCTGCTGCCACAACTGCACTGTGGCCAAACCCTCTGGATCTGTCTTGTGGGTACATTCCCATAGACTGAACAGAGTGGGAGAAGGGTGACCCACCACCAACACCGTAGCCTCCATAACCAAAGCTGCCTCCATAGTGAGGGCTGAGGATCCTGTTGTTGGGGTTTTGGTTGATGTATCCACCTGGATAACCGCCATGACCCCCGTAACCTCCATAGGTTCTCCCATTAGGGTTACCCTGCACAGGATACTGGTGGTGGTAGCCCCACGCCTGCCGGGGATACCCAGATCTGGTCCCATAATGGCTTTGCCCATGCTGTTTATGGTGACCACCCTTAGAGGAAGAGCCATGGACATTCTTCTGACCTGTGTTTGTGTTGGAGCGGCCAAAGCCGCGTCTCCATGCTGGGAACTTCTTTGCGCTGAAGCCTTTTCCAAAGCCGCCGCCTCCTCTCTTAGCCAGAGATGAATAGGTGTGAAACAAAATGACTAACAGACACAAAGTGGACCATGTGTACTGCTTCATCTCTGCCCTGTGGGAGGGTGGGGCCGGGGGTTTAAAAAACAGAGAGGGAAATTGTTTTTCAATTTTGTTTGTATAAACTAAATTCACTAAACACACTTGTTGAAATGGACTTTACAAGAAGTCTCCAGTAGATCTTGACTCAGTGTTGCTGTTACGTTTTAAACTAGTGTTTCCCAAACTTCTGGGGACCCATATTCACAATCCTTCGCGACCCAAGTCAATAGACATTATTCGTAAACTCTTGGGAAACATGATGCAAGACGACCCAAAAATAATTCTCTTGCGATCCACCTGAGGGTCATGACCCAGTCTTTGGGAAACAATGTTTTAAATTAATGTCTATTGTTTAAGGCATTTAATTAATTATTCATAATTATTTATTCTATTGCCATTCTGTTTTCGCTACATAATCTCCAGCTAAACAACACTGGCAGTGAAGAAACAACACTTCTCAAATGTGTAGCTGACATCATTATCTTATCGTCTTGTGCTCCCTTCAGGTGCCACAGGACAATATCACATGTCTCAGTCTTACCATATCCATTACCCACTCCACTGTGACCCCAACTTAATGCCTGATTAAAACATCTTAATGCCTTTGTTCACCGCGTCCATAACTCTTCTTTCTTTCTCTAACCATGACAATGTAGTTATAGTATTTGAATATATCCTTCATTACCGCCTCTACTCATCGTACTAGTATAGGGGTAGTCTATCTTTCCACTACAGAGCGTTGTTCAGTTTCTTTAAGCTTCTGGAACGATTGTAGTTGTGTTTTGTTAGTGCCGAAAGGATGTTAAATGTAATACATTTTAAATAGCCATAATTTAATTATTTAGTTATACTATAACAATATAGCCTTTGGTATGGATTTAACATCTCACAAAAAGCCTGTATAGGCTGTCTTATATTATCTAAAATATAATAAAGGAATCAATTAAACATACTGTATATTGTCTAAATAATAACACTGACTAACAAAATAATTATTAAAAAAAAAACCTAAATAGTAATAACCTAATGTTATATGTTAGATATAAAGACCAACACTGGTGGATAGATTCAGCTGCTGCGGTAGGACAGAGTACTGTGTAAACAGCAGTTATTCCAAATGAACGGTAAACAAAGAAAGACTACATTATGGTGATGATCTTTCTTACCTTCACCGATAACGGATGTTTGATTTAATCCTTATTTCCCTAGTTGGTCTCTACGCAAACATTTAATCTTCCGTGAGGATGATGTACCGTTCACACCTAAGGAATCATGTTTGTGACATGATGACGTCACGAGGCGCTATGGATTTGGGTCGCCTAGAAACAAAAACCAGGGGGCGTGGCTTTGTGTGATATATTTTCCAGCTTCACCAATCCATTAAAAAATGGAAGATGGTAATGGAAGATGGAAAATGGAAGAATGGAAAAAAAAGGATTTAAACATTAAATTGTAAGATAAGATTTATTCAAATATTAAAGTTTAAGAAACTGAAATATTTTTATTTTTGTGTTTGTCATTTAAAAATAATCACTCCATTAGCGTTGATTTAGTGGAGAGATACATTAATGTAATGTTGTATTAAAGCTGACAATTCATTTATATTGAAGCAGATTGTTCTGAGCCACTCCCGAATGTTAATTAGGTGTCTTTAAATTAGAAATAATTCAATCGAACCAAATCTAACGTCACGCGAATTTGAGTTCTCTAGTATTAGACGCTAGTGATGGGAAGACCGACTCTTTTTATTGATTCGAATCTTTGACTCTCGAACAGTAAAATGAACGAGTCGTGAACGAATCTTGAACTAATCATTTCATTCGTTTTACAGCAGGTGGCGCTTTAGCCCAATTGTGGGCGTTGTAAAGATGGCTGCGGTTCTCCGACACTAAATAAGGCAACATGGTTTGCTTCCGCTGACAAAGTCTACAAAGTACACAAAATGCCATAAGTAATTAAAACCACGTGAAAAGCTAAGAAATAAAAACACACCACAATGTGAAGATGAATGAGAGCAAAAAAGACCCGAGCTGTCTGTCACGTGACAAATGAAACGAATCTGCGAGAACGAGGCGAAAGATTAGTTCACAGAGAATGATCCGTTTAGAGTGATTAGTTCACAGCAAAAGATTAGTTCACGGCGAAAGATTAGTTCACAGCAAAAGATTAGTTCACAGAGAATGATTCGTTCACAGCAAAAGATTAGTTCATAGAGAGTGATCCGTTTGCAATGAAAGATTAGTTCACAGTGAACGATTCGTTCATAGAGAGTGATTCGTTTGCAATGATAGATTAGTTCACAGTGAAAGATTAGTTCGCAGAGAGTGATTTGTTCGCAGTGAGTGATTAGTTCGCAGAGTGTGATTAGTTCGCAGTGAGTGATTTGTGAGTGATTCGTGAGTTCAATATTAATAAATCTTTCATATGACTCGGGAGTCACGACTCATATGAAAGATTCGTTCATTTTGAACGAATCACTCGCGAACGACACATCACTATTAGACGCTCAAAATCGTCATTGAAATGGTCCTGCAGGAACATGGAAACGTCCCACGGCGACACACACAGTCCATGGTCATTCATAAAGTTACCAAACATTGGTCTGAAGTGACCCTAACCTCAATTTAACGGGCTGTAGTGTGTTTTTGTGGGCGGAAAGTCACGTCTTTTGCCAGACAAGTCCCTTTTATCCTTTTAATGTGCACTGCTCCGAGCTTGCTGAAGTCAAGCTAGGCTAAGCTAGTGGCTCGTTCATTTTTTGATGGAATACCTTGAAAATGCTATTGGACGTAAGTCACAGTATGTACGAGGGACTATTTTGTACTCTTGAATGTGTGGATAAACATATAACCAGCTTGATATATATATTCATGTTTAAGGAATTATAAAGATGTGCTAAAACATATAACCAGCTTGAACATAAAATGCTGCTTAAAGCTAAAACTGAAAACATGCAGATGTAGAGAAAAGGAGCTGCGAGGTTGAGTTAAAACCAAGGTTTGTTGTGACAAGAGGAGTACTTGGTGTGATGGGAAATAGAAACTTTTAGAATACAATTTGACAATGGCTGGATTCATAGTTAGAACACAAGGTCACAACAACAGCACCTGGGCGCGATAAGAACAGGATGAGAAACCAACGGTGTAGATGTAGTGGCCAAAAAGAATGTATGTGTGTGTGTGTAGAACAAATGAAGTCTGTATCGCTTGATACGTACCACCCCTGGATATGTGTGTCAATAACACGAGCCTGAGTTTGTGGAGAGAGCAGGATTCAGCAGCCGACCCCCTGACTCGCCGCTGGACCCTCCCTGTGCACAGGCGAACTCGAGCAACGACTTTTGTCTTTTCTTTATACTTTGTGAAAGTTCTTGATCAACGAATCCGGGGTGGTAAAACCTTACCACAACAAATGCAACTACAAAAAAAATAAAATAAAGGGACAAAGCCGAACGAAAAAGAAGAAATGCAACTACCCACATAATTTCTGACGAAACAACACCTGACTGACGAGTTTTGTTTCAGTGTAAACATTACACCCACGAATACAGAAAGGAGTGGGAATTAAACCCCGAATCAATAGGCTAGTCCGTTACTGGAGATTCTATATAGATGTCTGTGATTTTAAGGCCGATTTCTGTGCCAAACCTTACGATTTAAAAATTAACACACACTTTCTGGACAAGTGCATTTCTATCTCCTGATAAGGTTGAAATACAAGTTTAAAATGACCCCACAATGATTATTGATTATTATTTTTACCTGGTGTCTATGACTGATTATTAGACTTACTTATAAGATAATTGATCACACCTTCCAGTGGATTCACCACCTGCAGGAAGGTTTAGGTACGGTGCAATGTGATTTGGGTGGCGACTGCTTCCCCCGCGACCCGGTAACGGATAAGCGGATGAAAATGGATGGATGGATGGATAATTGATCACATTTTTGATGTCAGATCTGTCAAGAGTTCTCAGATAAATAATTCATTGATGATGTGTATGAGTCAATAATAAAACAAAACAAAAACAAAGATTCCTGGTTCAAATATGTTAGAAGTCTATACTAATCTTAGGAGAATGGTCTCTATACTCTTATAGTAAACGTTGCACTCACGTTACAAAACATTTTCATTCTTTTCCTTACACTCGCACGCCCTCTGCTGTTCACTAGCGGCACCGCAGTCTTGTAAATCCTTTTAACAGACAGGACAGCGAACTCCCTATTTGAACTCAAAAAGGAATGCATATCTTGAACACCATTGTAGGCTGATTTATTTGTATTCGGTGTGCAGTTGGTCATGAGTTAAAAGCAGAGGCTCAATTTCGTTGTATCCCCGTCTTACAATGGCAATAAAGACTATAATAATAATAATAATATTAATAATAATAATCAATATCTGAAGAAAAGAACATCTTTGAAAGTAAATCTATTATTTCTAACTCAAAGAAGGAGAAATCTTCTTTTAATCCCCCTCTGTCTCTGCCCCCTCACTGAAGCTGTCAGTCCAGTCCTGGTAACATGTTGCTGTTCATTATCATCAGTGTCGTGCTGATGGCCACTGCTAAAAAGGCGTGCTGGCCCATTTTAAGCCCCTGGGTTCCATCTTTGGGGGGGTGTTCGGTGGTGGGCTTTTTTTTCTTCAAGTACTTTTCAGAATAAACCAGGTATAACTCCAAACATCTTCTAACTTTCATTTGCTGGATCAGTGCTGGATAGCCGATCTCCACAATACTGACTGTGTCCTCATCATCAGCAGCAGCAGCAGCAGCAGTGGCAGCAGCAGTAGCAGCAGCGGAGGCAGCAGCGGAGGCAGCAGCAGGGTCACGATGACTGACTTCAGACTTGTTTGGATGCTGCGGAGTTGATGCTGCAGAGGTTGTGGTGACTCCTGCTACAGTTCTAGTTCTCAATGTTGTTTTACTGCCGGTGTGTGGTGCTGCAGTAGTAGTTGTAGTAGTATCTGTGGTAGTAGCTGTAGTACTGCTGTGGTAGTAGCTGTAGTACTAGCTGTTGTAGTAGCTGTAGTAGGTGCATGTTGTGTGGTGGTGGTCGTAGCCGCAGTCGTGGCAGCTGTCTTGTCTTTTGTCCTTGGCCTCACCACAGGCAGAAGGTCCATTCTCTTCACACACAAGTCCATGAAGTTGTCGTACATCACTATAGGTCGATTGTACTGGTAGTCCCTGCCGTAGTCGTTGTCATCAGTCGACCTGACGCCGTACCTCCTGTAAATGTAGTGATTGTAGTAGTACTCTTCCTGCGGACTGTGGAATTCAAAGTGCGGTCGTGGGAACCTTCCCAGTCCATAGCCCAGAGCCATTCCTGCAACAGCGCCTTGTGCTGCTGCCATTGCTGCGCTGCGTCCAAACCCTTTGGATTTTTCATTGGGATACACACCCATTGCCTGAACTGAGTGGGAAAAGGGAGAGCCACCCCCAGCAACGTAAACTCCATATCCAAAGCCGCCTCCCAGGTAAGGACTCTGGATTCTGTTGTTTGGATTGGGATATCCTCTATAACCTCCACTGTATGGATATCCTCCTGCTGGGTAACCTCCTGCTGGGTAACCCCCTGCTGGGTAACCCCCTGCTGGGTAGCCCCCTGCTGGTTGTCTTGGTTGATGGTTAGGCAAACCTCCTTGGTTAGCGTAGCTCCCAGGTCGGGCTGGTTGGTTAAACGTGTTGGATTTGGTTTTCGGTGAAAAGATTTTCTTGAACAGGTTTAACCCTGCTCTTCTCTTGGCCAAAGACAAGTCCGTGGTTAAAATGAGCAACAGACACAGGGCAGCCGTTGGTTTCATCGTTCCTTACAGAGAGGAGCTGAGAAAACAACTGCAAGAGATAAGAAATATCACAAACAAATGTTAGATGATACCCCAACCCCACCTCACCCCACTTTCTCTCTGTGGCTGCAAATCAAATGCTTTATGTGCTATTGATATTCTAAACTCACTCCTCGAGGTCCGTTTCTGGTTGTATCCTGCGAAAGGATGTTGGTTTTTTTAATGGCTTGATAATTTTTTGACACAATATCACATAATATGAAGTACCATCAACTTGGATTAGATTCTAAATATTTTCAATAAGGGATCTAGGATGTTGTTTTCCCCTCCACACTGACAAAATAAACTGTGAAAACAGTCAGTCTGTTTGGGATCCAACATAAAACAAACTTCACAGCGTGTGTCCAGAATATTCTGCAGACTTTAAATAGCTCACGGACTCTAACGCTGACTTTGTTAATAACTTTGTTTCAAATATTTTAAAACGCCACCGAGCAACAAACGTAGTAGTTTTCGTTCGTTTTAGTTTCGTTTCGTTTCGTTTTAGTTCATCCGTGAGAGTTTATGTCAGTCTTCGTCATTTGAAAGGACCGTAGGTAGACTACCAAGACGGACCACCGAATCCCCCTCCCCTGATAGAACTCGGTAGTTTGGATTGGCTACGAGTATTTCGTTTCATAATTTAAAATGTATTAATATGGTTTGTTACTATTTTTATCACAAAACAAGTGCATCGCGTGACGTTTATGAGTATTTTCGACAAATTGTATCGTTCCAATCAATAAAATACATTTTCAAAAAGTTTTAATAAAAAGGTTAAATTTATCCAACTCATTCGAAACTATTTCTGTTAAAGTTATTGAAAACCTTTACGATATAAAACCAGCTACAAAGAAGTAGTAAAAGACAATACAAACCACATAAAATGTTATATAAAAATATAAAAAGAGAAAAAATATAAAAATAACTATACAAATAACTATAGGTCAAGAATAACTGACACAATTTCTAGTAGTTGAAAGAAAATGCTTTGTCTGTGCCTCTCTAATCTGATTGGCTGTTCCAGAAACAACTGTTGTCATGTTGATAACTGTGTCTATATTATGGTCTTTAAACACAATTCAAAGATTTTTTTCTCTCTCTTTTATTTTAGGCAGCAGATCACCAGAGCATTGAACCACATCTCTTCTGCATGGACTTGCATCTGGTATGTAGTGTTTAACATTTTACTGTCCTCGGTTACATGCATGTTAAACCAGTCCATCTTTCTAGTGGGATTCAAATTTAAGGCACCTTTACCTACAGGAAATAATATGTCAAAAAAGAGATTCACACACACACAGAAAGACAAAAGTCAGAAGCCTATTTAAAATAGGTTTAATGAATTCAACTTTGTAGTTTTCTGTTTTTCCATTTAACCCTATCACCCCCTCTGAAGAGTTACAAAAAAACGGCAATGAGAAAATTCTGAAGTCAACAGAAATGAACTGTAGACGGAGGACACTTCTTTAAGAATGAGATGGATTGTGACACAGAGCTGGCTGTGAAAGCAGCCGGTACTTGACAGTTTTCAGACAGGCACGGAAATGTGAAGCACAACACAAGACTGATGAAAGTGAAGGAAACAAAAACTGTTCAAAAGAAGGCGACGTGTGAGGAGATTCAGATTAAAACTGTATCAGAGAATGGGACAAAAATGCACTTTATCTAACAAAGGGAAAAGACATTAACGTCTGTGAGGCACAGCAGAAATATGAAACCACTACAGCCGTCAGCTGTACAGATCAACTCAATATTTTTAATTCAAACCTTCCACTAAAACAAGTGGTAATGACTCACAGGACTTCCTGTGACATCACAGTGGTACTCCCAGCCAGATTCATCAGTGGATATGTTGTATATGAACATCATTAAACTTAATTCCAAATAAATTACAACAAAAAATTAAAATGTGACACATTTTCTTTGTAGAAGCCAATATTCAGTCAAGTTCCAATAAAACCTGACAATAGGATGTGGATACAAAAGCATGCGTTAAAACAAATCAATCAATACGGCCAAAACTTGAGACAAAAACATATTAAAATACAATAGTAAACTAAGAAGGGATTGTTTTTCTTCATCAGTCTTTAGTGGATTTTTTAGTCACATCCCTTTTAAACAAATCTGATTTGTTTGTGATTACAAACATATTGCATTTCCACATCCATTTCTGCACTGTTGCTTTAATTCACGTTTTGTTTGGAGTTTTCTGTTAAGGTTTTTACATAGAGAGTTTCATCTAAATGCAGACAGATGTTAAAAAAAACGGAATGGAAATTCTGAAAACCAGACACAATGACCTGGAAGAATTTGGGTAAAAAGTGAAATAAAAGCTTTAAAATGTGCAGATGTAGTGACCACAGGGGGCGCCAAACAAACTGACAAAATAGCTCAGATGAAGAAAAACACAATCCCAACTGCCATTTGAAATTATGCAGAAATAACAAAAAACACTGAATCTTCATAATGCACCAATGTATTAAAAATATCCTTTAAACTTTAGCGACATTCTCTGGGAGGTGCACATGAAGGAAAGGTGGAGACACCTGGCTGCTTAACTATTGGTTAACCCATCATCAGGGAATTGACTATCAAAGTCAATAACTGTTGTTTATTATTCCTTACATTTTTCTTTAACAAAATTAAAAATACTACTTTTTTAAGTAAACATTTCAAGGATTCTTTAATACTGAATCTATGGGTTGTTCAAAACTAAATTTGAAGGGTGTTTAAAAAATATATATAAAAAAACACTAATGAAATTCTAAATTTTCTTTAACAAAGCGAATTAACAGAGGGAGATGAATGGGTTAAACAAATATGCACAACACTGTGCACTTCTGCGCATTTACTTTAGTGCACATTCTGGACATCCATTTATAACTCAAGGTCAAACACTGTCTTAATGACAGGTTACTTAACAGATGGAGTCGGGTTAAACCAGTCATAAAGCTACATAGTTATCATTGCCACAAAAAAAAGAAATCAATCTCATTTGTGGCCTTGGGTCGACTCTCGTCCGCCTCATTAATAATACAGTATATCTTTGAGGACATAAACATATTTTCTTTTCAGATCAAAAAGATCTTAGTGTCATCGTTTAAAACACAATCCATACACTGTATGCAAATAAAATATCTTTTTTTTTTTTAACAGATTACAGAAGATAATTAGTGGTTTCCCAGACATGACCCTCACCACAGTCAACTCTGGGGTCTACTAATGTTTCACTACTATCCCCGGTCTTCATTTAGCAGTTAAAGCACCAGCAGGGAACTCTAGATCTAATAAGATCCTGACATTTAAACTGGTCCCCCTGCATTTAATCAAACTGGGCTGCCGTGTGATTCCTGAGTGGGGCAGGATCAAAATCATTTTGTTCAGCTGAAAGATAATTTTCCAAACATTTTTATCCTGAACAAGAGTTAAAATGCTTGGCAAATAATCTTCAATAGATATTCGGCCTTTGCATTGCAAACTGTAAAAAGGTGCTGCTGCTGCGCGATGAGATAGGGACGAAAATGTACAACATATTTACACATTTACAGGAGGAGCAGGAGGAGATGGTTGAAGTTGGGTCTAAATCAACTTACAGGACAATGATCCAGTAAGAGTTCTGTCTGGTTAAGTGGACAGTTACAATAAACGGAGTGGATAACAGTAAAGTACACAGAAGCTGCTGCTGCTGCTAACATGAAGCAAAAGCACCAGTAGACATCTGCTTTGCTCTCCCCCCCCAGGAGATTTGTTCATATTTTTTCTTCTCTTTCTGGTCCACACAGGACAGAAGCTTGTTTACCCAAGTTGAGGACCTCAAACAAAAGAAGGTCCCATCAAGTATGGAATGGAGCCCATCTCCTCTTCAGTCCAGAGATCCTGGATCCTCTTCACACACCGTTGGCACTTATTTTGCTCTTCTGGGACAGCTCTGTTGCAGCTTTAGCCTGGAAGGACACACACAAGTCAGTGTAAATATAACTGACATTGTTTCCTACTGGAATTTATTTGCATCCAGTTTAATGAAAGGTCTGAAAATACATTCTAATCACCATTTACCTGATAAGAGACAACAGATAGTAACATAATCACACATTTAAGTGAAGTTCAGGAAACCTGAACATCTTCACCCCACTGTCAACAGCTGCTAAAAAAAATTAATCTTTTCAAATACAAATAGTACAAATAAGAGCTGAAGATGAGATGCCGACTAAATGAGATGCCAGCTAAGAGATGATATCAAAAGTGTGACAATTGAAAAAATAAATCTCACAAAGACTAAGCCTTAAAGTGTTGCTTGACATCATGATGAGCTGTGGGTTTATTATAGAAACTTAACTGGATGTGTACTTGACAGGGACAAGTCTAAATTTAGCTTCTATTTTTAAAACCTCACATAGCAACTTGCTGTTTGGTGTTTTTTTTCTACCGCCCGTCTTTTCCTTGGGGTATAATGTCAATCTGTTTCCCAGTACTTCTACTGATTGTACTACTTGATGATCAGTGTTGGTAGAAACTAACTGGATTCTGCAGGAACCAGTTCTACACTAGTTCCTGTGGGTGTAACATCCCAATGATCTTCAACAGTTGTTCCTCACCTGAAGGACTTCAGCGGGCGTCAGCGGTTTGTCCGAGACCACAGGAGCTCTGTCTCTTAACTCTTCCGCCTAAAAGGTGACACAACACACCATTATTATAATTTTTCTACATGCAACAGCAGTGACTGAGTTTCGAGGCTCAATACAAATGTTACTTTTACTGTACAAACATTAATTTTTTATGGACTGCACATAATTGATCAGGAACTCACTCACCGATCGGTCTTTGATGATGAGAGCGGGATCTGCCATCATGTCAGTACCGACGGAGGAGGGGTTAGCTCCTGTGTTTTCCACTGGGAGGGCAGGAGAGGGAGGAGAAGGGGCAGCTTTCTGCACGAACAACATAGAAACATCAGATAAACAGACTGACTGCATCAGACAAAAGATTTAAAAAAAAGCTGCTTGGTTTCACGTTTTTCTCTAGTAGAAAAACTGTATTTGGATCTCTTCTTCAGACATGTGGCGTATTATTAGCTGCGTCAATAGTCTGACGCCCACTGTGAAGAAAAATCTTTAACAATCAGTTAAAAAATCTAACCTCTAGTTTGGGAACAGGTGGGATGACTGTTGGTTTTGGTTGGAGCTCAGTCAAGTACATGGCTCTGGAGAGCAGTAGCAGTGAGGGAGGGACGTTCTCCTTCAGGTGCAGATCCAGCCACTGATGGAGGAGAAAAAAAAAGTTTTATCAAGAGATGTTGGGCTAAATAATAGAGAAAAATCATGCATGTCACTAGAAGTGCTCAGTTACTGACCTGCTGCAGCTGCATACGTAGCTGATCACTGGTCAGACCCAGTGACCTCATCCCACGGTTGTGACAAGCTGCCTGTAATTCTGACACACTCATAGCTGTTACACCCTCTGCTGAAATCATCTGTGGAGAAAACATGAAGGGACTGAGGGTTTAGAATTTGTCACAAGAGTGAGAATAAAGCACGACTCAATATCAGAGTCTAGATTTTCTATAAATAACCTTTAAATTAAAAATGTATTTATACATTTATTTACCTGCATTATATATATTTTGTGTAAAAAGTTATGAAATGTCTTTCCTTAATTCATTATCAGCCACAACCACAACCAAATCACATCCTTTGTCCTTCACCTCATCATCTGATTTTATGGTCCTCAGCTGCATCATCAGCTGAAACCGCAGCAAGTTGTTGGTGCCGATGGGCTGCAGCTCCAGCAGTTTGCACAGAGCCACCAGCTGGGGGCGCTCCAGGTGCTCCAGCGTGAGTTCATCTTCAAACAGCTTAGAGAACTGGACAATGTCTTTTGTTTTAGGGTGCTCACCGCTGCCACGGACCTAACAAAAAAAACAACAACCCAAAGGTGTCAATAAAGTAGGTGCAGTTTACACATTGTCAAAAGTTTAAAACAAATACCATTTGAAGTTTACATCCAGATTGTGAAGGCTCTGGCTCCTACCTTTTGGACATATGTGGAGAAGCGCTGCGTTTCATCGTCAGTCTGAGCTTTAGCTTTGTTCCTGATGGCCATCTCTGCGATGGTCTCCTGCAGAAACTTAGCTAGCTCCAGCTTTGCTGCCAGACCCTTCTTCTGCTTCTCCTCCTGCAGGAGAGAAAAAAATACAAAAATATATTAGAATACAGCAACATATAAAGGACACAGAAATTGTAATTCCAAAATACAAATAAAAATAGTTATAGATTGGGTTTTAAATTCACTATCTTAAAAATATCTAGCGTAGACATTACCTGTCTGGAACCTGTTTTAATAATAATAATAATAAATTTTATTTAAAAAGCGCCTTTCAGGTCACTCAAGGACACTTTACATAAAATAAAAACAGATAATAATTTAAAACAGGCCATAGAAATAAAATAAAAAACAGATAATAATTTAAAACAGGGCATAGAAGCATGTTTAAAATCAATGATGAACCAAAGCACAGATGAGGGAGGTTAGAGGGAGTATGCTGTCCGGAACAGGTGTGTTTTGAGTTGAGATTTGAAGGTGGGGAGAGAGTCACAGTTACAGAGATCGGGTGGTAAGGCGTTCCAGAGATGGGGAGCAGAGCGACTGAATGCTCTGGCTCCCATAGTACTGAGGCGGGCGGGGGGGACGGAGAGGTGGATGGAGGAGGAGGATCTGAGGGACCGAGTGGGGGTTAAGACGTGGAGGAGGTCAGATAGGTAGGGGGGGGGCAAGATTATGGATGGCCATGAAGGTGAACAGGAGAAGTTTTGTAATTGATACGGTATTATTTTGCATGACTTCTTACCTAAACGTTTTCCAAATGTTAAAAAATATTGATGTCTATTGCCCATGGCTATGGGAGAATTTTTGTGAAGCACTAAGCTCTGCCTAAGTACATCCACAAAGACCCACTTCATCGAGCTGACAGGAATAAACTAGAAAATATTTTTAAAACATGTTTTAAACTCCCAGGCAAAAACAACAACAGAAATGTCAGCAAGTGGATGACTTCTTACCTAAACCTTTTCCAAGTGTTAAAAAAAAATAGATGTCTATTGCCCATGGCCATGGGAGAATTTTTGTGAAGCACTTAGCTCTGCCAAAGTACATCCACAAAGATCCACTTCATTGAGCTGACAGGAATAAAATACTAGAAAATACTTTTTAAAAATGTTTTAAACTCAAAGGCAAAAACAACAACAGACAAACTTCAGCAAGTGGGATGGTTAAAACAAAAGAAGAAAAAGAGACTTATAAACGTACATACTGTATACACACGTCTTTCAACATTTTTGCAGACCTATAGAGAATAGGTTGTGTTATGTCACAGCTTCAACAGCCAATTCTTCTGATTAGATTAAGTCAGCTTCCTGCACGACTGAAGGTTGTTTATAAAGCAACCGCAGACATGAGTTGCATAATCCTGATGAATAAGGTCATAGGTCATCAGGGGCAGCTGGGTGTGTGGATGTCTTTTTTTCCTGTGTGTAAACTTGTACATGCCTTTTTAGATTCTGTCTCAAAGGTGGAGGGCAGCATCTCCGGGAAGAGTTTCAGGAAGACGGGCAGAAGGAACTCCATGAAGGGAACAATGATAAACACTGTGAAGGGAACCAGCCGGAAGAGGTCAGCACAGGTCCTCATCAGCTGCAAACACAGGAAAACAAGGCAAATTGAACTAAAGGTATAAGTACGGGGGGTAAGGTTTTATGGTTATTTTCAGCATTGGCTGCTCGGATCTTCAGTGTCGTAATTGGTCGATCGGTAAATTGGCATGTGAAAGCCAGAAAAATGCAGCTATGTTATATTTAAACCCAAAATATAAAAAGTTTTCCAATGTTTGTTATAGTCACCAAAATATAGAGATTTTGCCTTAACTGTCACAGAGGAGCAAAAAACAACAATAACACACACATGAAGCTAAAATTTAAGACCTTAACATAATGACTAATAAGATTTAACTAGGAACCATTCATCTTTGGGACCCCCTGCTGGTAGGATAGCGTCACTGTTAAGTTGCCCAGGTCAATGAGATCCATTACAGGAACACTAAAGTTCAAGTAGTACTTGTCATAAATAGCTAGTCAGAAATGGCATTTGAACAGCGTGTATCTCTGAACCTGGTGCAGACACAAGTTAAAATGCAAGTACATTGAAACGTGCTATATTTAATAGTCAACAGTTAATTATTCCACTGTCTCCACTTCCTCAGTCATTTCATAACTACTGCCTTTTGTCTATGAGATAAGTTCAGGTTGTTGTTGAATTATGCAATAAACCATGTAGAAAGGTGAGAACAAATCTTTTACAATAGTTCAGTGAACTGCTGAACATAGACTTGACTTTTCCTTATCCACATCACAACCTACTGAATATTATGGGAAGTAGCTGCTGTTGCAACTTGTGAGTGATTTGCTACCTCAGTGGAAGCCAGTTATTAACATATGCAGATCAGTCTTATAAACATGCTGTAAGAGAATTATCTCACCCTTCTCCTCTCCCTCCTTGTAAGGACTTGTCCGTGTAACAGCCTCCACACCATCCTCCCTGCAATTTTAACGTCGATTCCCAGTAACCGAAAGCCATTGTAATAATGCTTCAACTCGTCCACAGCCTTCTGATACAGAGTTTTTTTCACAACTGCCTTCTCCTCCACCGGAGCAGCAGTGGCCACAGTGGTTGTTGCTGGTGACGGAGTATCCTGAGATTGAGACACAGTGGCTGCAGAGTTCTTTTTAGCTGCCGCAGAAGGGTCCGGTGCAGCAGCAGGAGAGCTCTTACTGTCTTCTGGCTTTACATCCTGGAGCCACACACGTGAACTATGCAGCGAGCGGGCAAACAGAGCGATGGCGTGACCACGGTCAAGGGCATGGCCTCGGCTGCAGTGGGGGTAACCATAACAAGAAAGTCGGAGTGGGAGTGGGGTAATCACGCGGTGGGGAGCGTGGATGTGGAGATAGCCTTTGGGAGACAGAGAGGAGCAGCTGTGCTTCTTGGACAACAAATATGATCCCCTGTTAACAGTAGCAAGAAAAACAGGTAACAATTACATAATGATAAATAAATTAAGTGAACAACTTTCTCTCATTGCGTGTTTTATTTGGTGCTTTTAAAACGACTGCATATTTACCATCTTGAATCTATGGGCTGTTTATGGGCAATATAAATGCATTTTTAACACAACTTTATCTCAATTAGAGCTGCATTACATTAGTAACCTTTGGGCGATTCATAAAAAAAAGTCACAATTTACACCTCATCTACAACAGTAAAAGTGTAGTTCAGACATTGAAAATTGTTAAACACGTCAAATGTATGTTTTTCTAATCTACAACTAATCATCATTCAGTGTAAACATTAAACAAAATTGAGGGATTCTTAGATGTATATTCTTAAATGTGCTCAGGCAAAAACGGGGTCATAAACACCAGTCTATTTTGTCAACAACCCCCTCTACTTTATGACCTCATTAGTCTGTGTTTACATTGGACATCTGGTGCTGTTTAACTAGGCACATAAAGAAGCATAATGTGCAAAATGTAGGTAAAGCATTTAAGTGTATAGTTTTGGCACTGATTTAACACAAATGATTTGATGCTTTGATGCCTTCATAGAAGTACAACTACTCTGAACTACTGTTGACTTCAAACCAAAATTAGCCCTTTTTTATGGAGGCTACCACACTGGACCACGTCTTCAGTCAACGGGAAGCTTCAGTTCGATCACAATTAGCAAATGTACGTCATTCAACACAAGAAAAACCGGCCTGCATCCAGGAGCCGAGGATTTCTAGGAAAGGCTACTCCTGTCTGCCGAAACCAAGCACGAACCTGGTGTGCAGCTTTCCTGAACGAGACTTTAGGGACAACTTACCGTGTTCTCGTGACTGCAACGATCACCTGATGACTAAAGACTGCCATCGTATGGGACGCTTGCAAATTTCTGCTTAAGCACATGTAAAGAATGGGGAGGGGAGCAGACAAGGGAGACGTTACAGGTGTCCTATTACAATTCACTCACATGCTGCAGCTACCGGGGCAACTGGAAAATTACAGACACCAAAACATAGGCCGCAAATTGTAATTTAACCATAAATGACACTTAAACTAACACTGCCATGTCACCTGATTTTGTAATATGATCTGACATTTCCCCCCTCCTCTCACTAATTCGATTCAGAAACAGAAACGAACCGCATGTATTTATCGTTAGAATGAAACTTGTTTTCGGAACAGCGAGTAACAGTAACTACACCGTAACCACTACTACTGTTGTTTATAACGTGTGTTCCATGAGTCATTTGCTAATAACTGACACTTAACATTGTATGATCTATTTAAAGAGCATGGCTTTTATAGAGTACAATAATAAAATACGCAATATTTTAGTTATTTTACATTTATATTAGCTTTTGTCTATCTGCATGATTACGTTATAATATAGGCATGAGTGTTTGACTGATAAGAAACTTAACTAACTACTGTATGTCATGCTAAGAACGTCAGAAACGATCCATAAATAGAGTAGTTTTGGTTGTTAGCTTAGTTTGTTAGCTTAGCTGCGCGTTCGCCAGCGCAATGGCAGAAGACTAACCTGCGGCCTCAGGCCCTGGCTATGACTGCCGCTGATCACTGAGAGTTCTCTGAGACACGAGTCCAATAACCCATTCACAAGATGCCCCAGAAGAAACACGGACAATGGAAGTGACGACCGAAAGAGTGACTTAACCCATTTAGGTTAAGTCCATTGCTTTTGTGCGGGCCCAACGAGTGTCGTGTTGGAAGCTATTGACCGTCCGCTTCGCTGTGCGTGCACTGCCTTTAAACGTCAGACGTTTTTTTTAACTCTCAGGTTGCGCATGCGCTTACTTCGCTTAGACCTATGGGCTGTACTGAACTCATCGAAGATCGTCTTCTCAACCAGACCACTCATTCGGTGGCTTAGAAGCCACGCCCATCGTTAGGTGGAAATGGGCGTTTACCACAACATGGGTAATTTTCCTTTTAGTGATGGGAAGACCGACTCTTTTTTACTGATTGGGATCTTTGACTCTCGAACAGTAAAATGAACGAGTCGTGAACGAATCTTGAACTTGTCATTTTATTTGTTTTACAGCAGGTGGCGCTTTAGTCCTATTATAGGCGTTGTAAAGAAGGCTGAGGTTCTCCGATACTAAATACTGAAGGCAACATGGTTTGCTTCCGCTGACAAAGTCTACAGACTACAGACAAGTACACAAAATGCCATGAGCAATTAAACAATGTGAAAACATAAGAAAGAAAAACACACCACAATGTGAAGATGAATGAGAGCAAAAGAGACCCGAGCTCTCTGTCACTCGTGAACGACACATCACTACTCTTTTGAAAAGCGCAGTAATATAAATGAGTTTCTATAACAAACTCCGATAAATGAAAATTATTCAGGAATCACGTTTAAACAGAAAAAGAGAGACGCTCAACACAGACTATTCTCCCCGTTTTGGACGTAGAGAAGGACGTTATTAAATAACCCCTAATGTAATATAATGGCGTAATCAATGTAATGACCAACAAAGAAAAGCTTTTATTTAAAAAAAATAATTCAAATAAAATAAAATAAAATAAAAATAAAAATGTTAATGACAAATCCTGACAAATGTTCCTTCCTTTCTCCGTAGTAACCTGCTCCTTTTTTGCTAAATACCAGACTGCAGACTTCTTTACCAGCTTCCATAATGTTCAGGTGAAATTGTAACTTGTAACTATAGTCTCTATAAGGCCATTCTACTAGGTTTCTTGACTTGTATGTCTGTGCATAACTGTATGGACCGCCTTTCTACTGCCAAAAAAATGATTTCTTCTGACCAAATATTTAGTATACATCAGCCTGTCTTGACAGTTCTCTTCAGGGTACTTTGACCCATTTTGACACACCAGACTGGGCTAAGTTATTAATGTTCTTTCTTACTAATTATTTCTAGTTAATGTTCTTGTTAAAGTTTTTATTTCTATTTTGTTATTTGCCAGATTTGCTGAATTTGCTCAGTACTGTAGATCTCTCAACTTCTACACAACATGTCTTACTGCAGTTCTTGGAACTACAAAAAAATATTGTTGCCATATTGACATTGTTGACAAAACAGCTACATTTTAGGATTTTCTAAATAAAGGACCTCCATTTCAACTTTTGTTTCATGTTTTGAGTGAACGTTGAGCTACATGGTTGATTGCAGGGCTCAGTCCATTCTAGAAATTGTTCCAAACATTAGTTACTCCGGTGTTCAAAGAAAATGTCAGGCTCTCAACCAATTTAGAAAATATCTGGAGGACTCTAATTAAAACCAATTTTCACAAAATTTGACCATGCTTAGTCCACAAAGAAAAGCGCTCTGGCTGAAATAGGCTACAAACAACAGACTGTCTTGTTGCGAGGCAGCTTTGCTGGGCACCATAGCAAAATCAACCATTGCTGATTCATTAATTAAGCCATTTATTGCCTAATTTCTTTAGGGGGGGGTGGTTAAAACCACCATTCACACCAAATTCACACCAATGGTATATTTATTTTACACCAGAGTACCAGGAGGAAATCCATATCAACAGAAAAGACCATCACCAAACCACAGTTTTACCACACTGATTTATTCTTTTGTATTTTAATGTATTTATTTTTCGGCTGAAGTATTACACGTGCGTATTTGTGTTGTCCCGCTTTCCTGTAAACAGAGACAAATATAAAAGAGAGAAAAAATCACTCCCTGTAGCGCCCCTGCTGACCTCTTTGGTCCACATCTGTGAGATTCGATGCTGATTGAGCAGCGCGCTGATATTTAACCACACGTGTGGCTACAAATCAGCGTGATTAACGTGGCTACACGATTCAAACGGACGCTAAGAAGTGGTGGAGGCTCAAAGAACAGATGTGCGTGTGCCTCCAGCAGCTTTTTCTTAAATAAATAACCCCAGTAGCCCCTACATTGAGGACGAGCCAAGCTTTGGGATTGGACAGCGACCAGATAACGTAACACCCCCTCCTTCACTGTGTGGAGAATTGCTTTAAAAAGACGAGGAAAGGCCTGCGCGCTATCACTTCTGCAGGATTGTTGTTCATTTTGGTTTCCAGGTTTAATTTAGCCCACGGATTAAAAGAGGACGCGTCGCTGACTGGTGAATGTGTTTAGAATGGGACTCGCTGAAGGTACAGACATTGTTTTAAGTTCTCTGCATCTCTCCACTCGGCATCAATATCCGCGCTGCTGCTGCTCCTCTGCTCCCTCTCCTCTCCATTTAGCCATGAGCGTGTGTGTTCGCCGCTGTCGATGCATGTCGTTGTCTTCTCCCACCAGTCCCTTCTCCGTCTCCACACACACACGCATACACACACCGTGTCGGTCGCTCATTTTCGGGCCACATTTTTTGCACCCAAGCAAAGCGCCAGTGGTGGTGGCACATTCATGCCAGACAATTTGATTTAAAGGGGCAAAGGCAGCCATATTGGCAAATGCGCGCTAGCCTAGCCAACATTAGCTCCCTCTCTTTCATCTCCTTCCCCGTGCACAAATTAAGTGCATATCGAAAATTGCATACGGCTGTATGTGCTAACCAAGAGGAACACCGTCGTGTTCCCGTTTGGTTTTTATTGTTCAGTGTTTGCAAACATTATCCTCTTTTAAACAGCTCCCCTCTTTTTTTGATGCCAGGTAGCTTCAGGCTAACACTGAACATGTTTTGTCTGCGCACTCGTGTTATAATATCACCACTGTGTTTTGACCATCTAAATAAATGTTGCCAAACACACGATACCGTAAACTCGGCCAGAAGTCAATGCATGTTTCTGCTGACTGTTAGTTGTCACTTTAGAGATGTTCACATCACTGTTATCCACCTTAGATCAGTGCTGGGGAATCCTGGCTGTACACAAATGAAACAAACAGCAGCGAAACATACGATTCACTGCGATCACACTGTTAAACTGACTGATTAGTATGCTTTGTAAATGATAAAAATAAAAAAATAAATTTATAGTTAGATACACAGGACGGTGGAGTGAGGAGCTACTGGTGGTTGCCCTTTGTTTTTGCACCAGAGACAGACATGTGTTGGTATTAATGAAATGAAGAAAACGGGATCAAAATAATCTTAAAGCTTAAATAATCCATCATACAATTATAACTATTTTGTTTACTATTTTGTTTGCATTTAGGCTGCAAATGGCCACAAAGTTATGCTCTTCCAATCTGTGCATTATATAAAGATGTTAAATGTATATGATAAAATAGTAGTAATATGTGTATTGGCTGACTGTGTGTGTGTAATCGTGCACTAGTTGATGTTCAATGTCAAACCTGCAGAGATTGAGATGATCATTGTGTCATTTACCTTTACCTGTGTCCCATGTCATGTTCCCTGTTATTAGGTCCAGTCAAAGAAAAAGACAGTTAAGGATGCAGGAGCACAACAATGGATTTCTCCTTCTCTTTCATGCAAGGGATCATGGGAAATACAATTCAGCAACCCCCTCAGCTCATTGACTCAGCCAATCTCAGACAGGAAGGCACCTGTGACACCGGCAGTGACCCGGGCGAGGATGGCGGTCCCTCCTACGATGCTGCCCTGGATGCAGACTTCTACCCGCCATCAGGTTCAGAGGACATGCAGCAGGTCTCCAACGGCTTTCCCCCAGGTCTGGGCATTTACGAGCCCCAGGCTAAGTTTTCTCTGTACTCGCAGTTTCCCAACGGCTCAGCCAATGGCTACGGGGCCATACGCAGCTACAGCGAACACGGGCTCATCCCAGGGGAGGGCACCGTCCTGAGAGGCCCCGGTCTACAGGACAGACCTTTGTCCCCGGTGTCTCCCCCGCTGCCCACTCATCACCCACACCTTCACCACCATCATTCCCATCACCACCACCAGGCACAGCACTTTCACACAAACACTCCTCACATACAGACGCACCCTCACCCTCAGAGTCCCCCGCCTCCACCACTGCCATCCCAGCACCACCTGTCTCAGACGCCTCACATCATGACCCACACTCCCCCTGCGCCTCCATTACACTTGCCCTCCTCCAGTCCGCCACCGTCCCTCGTGGACAGTACCCCGTCTTCTCAACAATCTCACCCCCCGTCCAACACCCCTGTTGGGGTACTGAAGAAAACCAGCTCTCCCGAGATCAAACTGAAGATCATAAAGACGTACCAGGATGGGAAAGAGCTGTTTGAGTCTGCGCTGTGTGGAGACCTGCTCCAGGAGCTGCAGGTAAGTGTCCACGCAGCGACTTCCGTACTCTACTGGGGTCAAACCACAGACAGAACATGTCGAGACACTGACCGTTTCTCTGGTTTTGTGCTGGATACATGAGATGACATAATATACTGTAATATTGTTACCAAAGGCTCACATCAACTGCATTAGACAGCGAGGTGTACACACTGAAGTTGTTATGATGCAGTGTTTTTTTTTTTTTTTTTAAATTCCACTTGTGTGTACTCCTTGACCGCTTGTAGGCGTGAGATGTAAAATTAAATGACTAGTCTTTGCATCAGATCCAGACACAAAACAGATAATCTCTAATAAAACTCATTGGCTGGGTTTTGAGAAAAATTAATTTGGTTTAAATTTCAGGTGCATTAGTCTGTGCTCTCTCTCAGTGCAGAGAGTGCGAGGGGGGGAGTGAAACACGGGGAAAGAGAGACACGGGGAGAGGGAGAGAGCACATTCTTCTCCTGAGATGATAAAACATCTGACAGCTGAAGGCATTAAAATTTATACCTATGGTTCTATTGTACGCAAACTGGCTGCACAAATGTATATTCTAATGAAATGTGTATATGTGAGTGTACAGTGTGATGCACTGTATCCACCACTGGAGAACAGTAGTCATTATTTTTCAGAGATTTAATAAGATTAAACTAAAGATTACACAGAAAGAATCTTTTAATTAATTGTTTCCCAAAGACTGGGTCGTGACCCTCAGGTGGATGGCAAGAGATTTTTTTTTTTTTTTTTTTGGGTCGTCTGGCAGCATGTTTCCAAGGAGTTTACGAATAATGTTTATTGACTTGGGTCGCAAAGGTTTGTCAGGTTCTGCTCCCCAGAAAAAAAGTTTGAGAAACACTGGTTTAGATGTTACTGGTGTTATTCAACAATGTGATCCAAATATGAATTGAATAAGCCAAATATAAGATCAGTATCTTTGCAGTGAGATGTTTCCTCTGTGTGTATTTGTTTCATCAGTCAATTTATGAATTTTCTATACCACATTTTCTAGATACTATACTGTGTAGTTCAGATTTGATCATTATCAGGACTTGAGATTGTTGATGTATAAAAACTCAGACATCAATTGTTGACCACTAAAAAAAATGTTTTATTATTTTATTTTGTGATGGTCTAAAGGACTCTCACAAGAAGGAGTTCATTCAGCCGCAGCGCAGACACGAGAGAAAGAAGGAAAAGAGGAAAAGGAGCACAAGGGTGCAGCTGAAAGTCCGGGAACAAAGCCTGGACCAAACAGAGACCCAAACAGGGTCCACGGGCCAGACGGACGACACGCACACCCAAGCCCCGCTGAGAGAAGCACCTTTGTCACAAGTAGAGAAGACAGTTATCAAAACCGACTCAAAGACACCAAAGGCAAGCAGTCGATTGGTTTTTGGTTTCTCTTCTTCTATAAACGTGACTGCTGCATTTTTTAGCAATCAGATCCGTCACTTCTCATGTTTCTGTTCAGGTTCCTAAGCCGTCCGTCAGTCATCCATCAGTAATCCAAGAGACGGGCTTCTGCAAGGAGTTTGTGATTGGAGATCTTGTTTGGTCTAAGGTGGGCACCTACCCCTGGTGGCCCTGCATGGTCTCCTCTGACCCACAGATGAAGGTCCACACACGCATCAATACCAGAGGTAACGGGAGTCTGAACTTTTCTAAATCTACTCATTATCTGGGACCAGTCTCTAAATACTTTTGAGCCTGAGTTTCCGTGTTCTTGTTTTGCTGCGCAGGTCACAGAGAATACCATGTCCAGTTCTTTGGCAGTGTCGCTGAGCGAGCCTGGATCCACGAGAAGAGGATCATCACATATCATGGAAAGCAGCAATTTGATGACCTCCAGGCAGAGACTCTGCGCAAGGCGTCAAACCCTGTGGAGAAACATAAGGTTTGTTCAAACATGATATTTGACGACTTCTAGCAAGAGCCAGATTTTTAGTCAGACTTGACTCACTTTAACCCAAACATGTTGGGAATTAAGTCTTGTCCTGTTTTACATCATCACTAACATTGCAAATCTGTCCAATCGGATTCTTTGTCTTCTACACCATTGTTTTCCAAAGACTGGGTCGTGACCCTCAGGTGGGTCGCAAGGGATTTTTTTTTTTCCAATCGTCTTCCATCATGTTTCCTAGGAGTTTACGAACAATGCCTATTGACTTGGGTCGCAAAGGTTTGTGACTTTTAAAACGAGTCCCCAGAAAAAAAGTTTTGTGATCAAACCCTGCTGCCTGTTGTCAGTGTTCCTACTGACATGTTATTCTAGAGCCTTACCTTCATTTTCTTCTTCTTGTTCTTTCTTGCTCATATCATGTTTTTCCTGTATTTTCTCTTCAAGCTTCTGAAGCCCATCCCCCAGCGAGAGCGGGCTCAGTGGGAGGTGGGTGTGGGCCACGCAGAGGATGCCTTTGTGATGACTCGACAGGAGCGAATAGACAACTACACCTTCATTTACGTGGACCCCGACCCCACCGACGTCCTGCCCAGCAAGAAACCCAACATGCGGGCCGAGAAGCGGAGCCGACGTTCCAGCGGCTCCTTCGGCAGGAAGGAAGACGCGGCGGTGAAATTTCCAGACAGAGAGCTACTCCCACGAAGACAGCTGCCACGCAGACAGTGCAGCATCACAAACGCAGACAACAGCACAGACACTCAGAGCTTAAACGAGGAAATCGGTCAGGAGTGTACGACTATGTCCCCAAGACACAAGACCAAGCAGGACTCTCCACCCCCGGTGAGAGCCTGGAAAACAGCGGCTGCAAGAAAACTCCTGCCGCTCTCCATCACCATGAAGAGGCTAAATGTGGAAATCACCAAATGCGATTGGCCGCTCCTGCAGAAGAAAGCAGCTCCCTCTCCTAAGAAGGACGACGTTCCAGCGGCTCCTTCGGCAGAAGAGGAGGATGAAGAAGAAGAAGAAGATGAGGAAGAGGAGGATGACGAGGAAGAGGAGGGAGAAGCCCGACGGCCTGACCTGGGATACTGCTCTCCTGAGGTTTGTGTCACTTTCTTTAGTAAAGGTTCCATTAGCAGAGCTTCGCTGTCAGATTTTCACATGTTGATGCTCTCAGCAGAACAGCAGAACTAAACCAGAGTCCAGTCCTGGGGAAGAGGAAGACGGTGATATAGGGGAGGAAGAGGAAGAAATGAGGGGAGGCTCCCCCGCAAGTCGGAGGAGCGAGGAGGGAGGGGCCCAGCAGACCTCGTCTCCCGCATCACACCACAGCAGTCCGCAAGGTCGGCGACCACAGACACAATGACTACATGAGGTGACGGATTGACGCAACGTGGTTCGTGAAACGTTACAACTGTCGATGTGTTTTCAGGCTCTCAGGAGAGAAAGCTGCAGCGGCGGTCAGTTAAGAGCAGGTCTGAGTCTGAGCGAGGCAGCGATCCGGTCCCCAAGAAGAAAACCAAAAAAGAACAGGTAATGATTCAGTCAGAACATGAGGTCGTTGAAGTGAAAGGTAAAATATGTTTTAGGAATGTTGTTATGATGCTTGATGCATTTAAGGAGGCTCTTCTCCAGATTGATTCTTTTTTATTTCTAAATTCAATTTCAGCACTAAAACATCTAAACTCACAAAATGTGAAAGATATCATTCTGCTATTATATCTGGTATGCTTGGTATTTTGTTATAATAGCAAGTCTTACTGGTTACTTATCAGGCAAAAATGAAATTAAACCAAATTAGTTTTTCTCAAAAGATTGTGCTCATATCAAGGTTGCACTGTCCAGTCCAGGACCAAGCTCATAGCCCCAGGTGCTCACAACAAAAATCAAATCAAATCATTTTTTTTCCAATAAGAAATAAATAAGAAAAAAATGAATTTGTTCCGGCCCTCTAAAAACTCCATTACTGCTAGTAACTATGGAAAAGAACATGTTTTTAAATGCTGCAGAGACGTACACACACACAGACACACAAATTATAGTATATCAGGATCCCTGTGATATTAAATAAAAATGTGGTTTTAGACCTTTTCAATTTGGCTTGCTTGTATCTCGAAGGTTCCACTGTAACAAATACTTGAATACTACTGTGAATTTTTGAGTCACCAACTACAGCTTGGTCATTTACCCCTCGTGTCTTTAAGGTCTTTAACTTTAATGTCCATGTTTAATTACCTGCAGGCGGAAACAGCTCCTGAAACCACACTGAAGACCGGTTCACAGAAAGGTACTCTGTCCCCTCCGTCCTCCATGTTTACTGTGAAAACTGCATGAACATCTGACAAGTGAAATTTATTTTATAGTTTAATTCATGTTTTTTTTTTTTTTGCCATTAATTTACATGTGATTGTTCAGGAGCCAGTGAGATTTCAGATGCGTGTAAACCCCTGAAGAAGCGAAGTCGAGCATCAACAGACGTAGAGATGGCCTCATCGCAGTACAGAGACACCTCCGATTCTGACTCCAGAGGTCTCAATGATCCACAGGTAGAGAACAGCGAGCATGAAACCCCCCACTCATAACTGTCTGCTGACATCAGCCAATCAGGTTTTCTTTAACGTTTCTTAAACTCCTCCACGTCACAGGGTTTATTTGGGAAGAGTCTTGATAGTCCAGCAGCGGCAGATGCAGATGCTTCAGATACTCTGTCTGTGGATTCAGGCCTGTCCCGTCAGGACAGCAACACTGGAAAGAGAGACACTGTCTGCCAGGTCAGTCAGTCATTTTACAGTTTGTATTTTTATTCTTACTAAAGCTGTCAAATTCAATAATTCACTTGTGAAATTATTAGCTTAGAATTTTTAATGCACCTAAACCAGTATTTCCTCAAATCAATAGATATTATTGTAAACTCCTGGGTAACATGATGGGAGATGACCCAAAAATAAAATAAAAGACCCAGTCTTTTTGAAACAGAGACTCAAAGAATGAGCCACACTGAAGATCCAGTAGTTCCATTGTCACCACCTTTCACTTTTTGTTGCCTGTTGTTGTCTGTATTACAGGGTGATTGTGATCTGAGTATGATTTTAGGTTTTCTGGGCTTAAAATTCAAAGTCAGTAAACATGTAATTTTCACACACTACATGAAACAGTTTTTAATTCACACCTCAAGCTTCAAATAAACACTTCATCATCCAGTGTGCGTTTGTAGAGAGTCCAACCTCAGGTCAGATGCCCGGCTTGCGTCAGACTAGCCTCATCAGGCACAGTGCAGAGCCCATTAGCCGATTGAGATAATTGCAAAATAAATTGCGAGGGACTAAAGAGTAACGAATTTAGCTGAGAACGACTTCACTGCTGTTTTTGTCAACTGTAAATGAAGAAAAAAAAAAAAGAGCTATTATGAGGTTTTTTTTTTTTTTTTTTTGCTTTTTTGATCTAAACATTTTTCAATATTAATACTTCTACAAATAAAAACAGTTGTGTTACACAAACATCTATTTGCTGCTATCTTCGCCATTTGTTCCAGCAATACACACAGAAAAATATGGCTTTTCAGGATTGTCATATTCAAGAAATCAAATCTTATTTAATCGTAATTGATTAAGATTAATCGTGAATATTCAACATGAATGCACTGGTACCCTGTGATTGATCAGTTTCTAATGACAGCCTTAATTCTTCAGATCTTATACCTGTCGTTCTGTTGTCTCACCGTAGATCTGTGAGGTTTATGGCGAAGGCCTAGTGGTCTGTGAAGGCGACTGCAACAGAAAGTTCCACTTGGAGTGTCTCGGTCTGGCGTCCCAACCTGAGAGCAGATTCATGTGTTCAGAGTGTAAGAATGGTCAGTGCACCGAGCTGCGGCGTCATCGTTGATGTTCGTGTCAAGTGTTGTTGCTTCTTCACTGACTTTAACCCCGCCCCTTCCACACTATCCCCCCCAGGCAATCATCTGTGTTTCAGCTGTAAAACAGCAGGCCAGGAAGTGATGCGCTGCTCCGTGGCGGGATGCGGTTGCTACTACCACGAGGATTGCGTTCGAAAACTCCCAGGCACCACCAGCAGTCAGGCTGGAAGCTTCAGCTGCCCTCAACACATCTGTTCCACCTGCTGCCTGGAGAGAGACCTGCAGCGGACCAGTAAAGGTAATACTGCAGGGCTGAGGACCAAGGCTGCATCAGCAGAGTGTGAAGAAGTTTGTTTCCAAGATATTCTTGGCTCCTTAATGATGCTATTGAACACTGGGAATAGTAATGAGTGCATGGGTCAAGGCCGGACGTTTAGAATTGTGTAGGAGAGGAGTGCAAGAGGCAGCAGCAAGCACTGCAATTGTTCGGAGAGAAATTATAGGACGCAGTTTGTCCCACAGAGGTTAACATCCTTGATGTTTGCATTTGCACAAAACCTTTCTTTGGGTGGAAGGGGAAATTGTAGCAGCGATACTGATTGGATCTTGAGTAATAATTGCATTGTATTTCAAGTTAAGTTCATATCATGTCCCAACATGCAAGGGGGGGGCGCTTTTTGGAGTTTACTCACTCCTCAAAGACACTGTCTACTACACCCTGTGACTGTACATGCTTTAAAACGGTGACCCTTAGAACCACAGACCGGTAGTGTCACCTCGTCCGTTTAAAGCACTGTTTCCCAAACTTTGTTTTCTGAGACCCATATTTTAAAAGTCACCAACCTTTGCGACCCAAGTCAATAGACATTATTTGTATATACTTATACTCCTGGGAAACATGATGTGAGACGACCCCCCCCAACCCCCCCCCCCAAAAAAAAAAAAACTCTTGCGACTCACCTAAAGGTCACAACCCAGTCTTTAGGAAACAATGGTTTAAAGGATCATTACAGGGTTTGTTAAGGAAAGGTAAATGTTCAAAATAAAACATCTTTTAGACTCTAATCTGTTAGTATTGGACAAATTATTTTTGAAAAGAAATTCTAGATTATCTTTAAATTGCAAAAATATTAAGAGATGACCAGATTATCTCAGAATAAAGTGAATTAATAATTATTTCTCTGCAGCCCGGTAGCAATTGCCCCCCGGACCGGTACCGGTCCATGGACCAGGGGTTGAGTGCCCCTCCTCTAAAACGTTGCATGTACTTGTTTGACTGTTAACTTTGCTAAGTGTCTTTATCAATGATTACAAACTGGCGGCCCGTGGGTCCACCGAGCGGTCCAAATCCACCTTTTTTTTGGTCTAAAAAGTCGAGCGTTGAAACCCAGAGATAATGTCTCTCAGGTTTTTCCTATCTATGAAGGAGATTAACCGTCTACAGCCAAGGACAGCGTGTACAGATGTCACAAACTGTTCGACATGACATTTACAAAAGTGCACCTTTGTCGCATTCTGAAGTGGCTCTTATCTTCCTGTCCAGGTCGGCTGATGCGCTGCATCCGCTGTCCGCTGGCCTACCACACCGGAGACAGCTGCATGGCAGCAGGTAGCGTCATCCTCAGCCCTCACATCATGATCTGCAGCGGTCACGGCAGCTCCAAGAAGAACGGCCTCCTCAGCTCTCCCATCAACGTGGGCTGGTGCTTCATGTGTGCGAGAGGTAAGCGCTCACCGCTGTCCACACTCAGCTCACTTCCTGTCCTGACAGCTGAGATCCAGCGTTGACCCCTGAATGGACTTGAGACTTGACTCGTACTTTTGAGTTGACCACAATAACAAACGTTAGCTGTTGTCACTGGCATTTTTAAAGTTAAGTAAAAGTTTTTAAAGTAACGGCTCAATATATCTCACCCCTCCTCCCACTTTTTATTTTGATAGTGTAACATGTTTTTAAAGCACTAACTTTCATCTCTGGATGTTATTGATCCTAATTATTACGTGTTTCATGTTCGGTGGTCTTCATGAAATGTGTGAAATGTATCATTTCTCCATCACTTTACTAACACTGAATGACCGAGGCTTTTCACACTAAACTCATCCTAAAGTACTGGATGATGATGAGTGAGAAAAGATGCTTTTTTTATCTCTTTTTTTTAAACAACTTTCAGCCATTTTTTTTTCTTTTAGACAAACTTATACCTTTTTGTGTTTTAACTGTCTGTAAGCGCGTGTGTGTGTGTTTCTCTTTTTGTGATTTTGGGTAATTTGGAGTTTGACTGCGGCTCACACCCGTCTTTTCCTGTGTGTCTTGTGTAGGGCTGTTAGTGCAAGACCTTACTGACAACATATTAAGTTCATATGCCTATAAGTCCCACTACCTTCTGACTGAGTCAAATCGTGCTGAGTTGAAATTACCTATGATTCCCTCTCCTTCGTCAGCTACCAAAAAGAATATTGGGAAAGGTAACTGAACAGTTTTTCTTTTTCTCCATTGACTCCCCCCCACTCTCCCTGCTTTGTGTTTGTGCTGTGCCTGCTCCTGCTCTAATCTCCTCTCCCTCTCTGTGTGCTTCTTTCTCTTCTGCAAAGCCCAAAGGTGTAAATTTAATTAACTGGTCGAACCTGCAGTTAATTTAAAATGCAGAGCAAACTTGGCTCCAAAAAAAATCCAAAACATTTCGATAAAAGAACACTGGCCCTCCTGCAAGACTGTTTACATCTTTGTCAGTAAAAAAAAACACCTGTCAGATTACTGCGTCTATGGTTTATAAGCTGTCGTTTTCTGATTGGCTGAGTTTGACATGTACGTCTACAGACAATTTGATTCAGTGTTTTGTTTGAATCAGATACAGATTTAATATTATAAACGGACAGATCTGTTATTTCACAGAAATCGTCTCCACGCACCTTTCAGACACAAACCTTAAAAAAAGTCTGTCCTAAATCTGACGAGAAGGATGGTACGTTACTTTCAGGTAATGGAAAATCAAAAGTTAGCAGGAGAAATGAACCCAGCTGAACGGTGTGGGTGTCACAGGCTGCAAAAGAAATAAACGGTGAGGTTCCTCCGTTGTGGTTGCCATGGTTTCCCATCAGATCAACTAATCCAGTGGTTGTGGTCTTAAGAGCTGACAGTATATCTTTTTTTAGACCCGCCTTTCTGTTAAATCTAGAGAAATAATCTTAATACACCTACTTCGTTATATTTTATTTAAGTTAATTAAAGCTTTATTTTTAATACTTTATTTAGAAATAAATTCAAAACAATGTGATGATAATTTTGTTGTATTTAAGCATCAACATATTATGGTTATAGATAAGGTTCTCCTAATACATTATCATTTATTTTATTAAATAATCATTTCAGTTTAATTATTACAGTGCATTTAAAATTGACTTTAATTAAAAACATGATAAAAAATTCCAGAGAACACCTTAAAAAAGAAAATCCAATTGTAAACACACTAGTGAACAGGAAACCTCGTCTGAAGGTTCTGTTCATGTGAAGGTTCTTGCATGAGGTCCAGTGAACTATTGGGGTTTTTTTTTTGTGTGCATTAACATTATGA